GAAATTTGGAACTTTGAAATTCTGTGGCTCAATTCAAAAATCCAATGTTTTAAATCTTATGTAATTGAAATTTATTTTTAAAATACTTACTGTAAAACTGCAAAATATTTTGAACTTTGTTTATTGGCATCATCATTTTAATTACAATAATTTAATTTATTAGGATTTTTGAAAGTATTATTTTAAGCATGTCTGTTTTGGACGAAGCAATTATGAAATTTGGAACTTTGTAGCTAAAATTAAAAATCCAAAGTTTAAAATCTTCATATTATTGAAATTTGAACATCAAATACTAACTGTAAAATTACACAATATAATGGACTATGGCATATTGGCATTATCATTCTAATTGCAAACATTCAATTTTTAGGATTTTTGAAAATATTATTTTATGCTTGACTTTCTTGAATGAGACAATATGTAACTTTGGAAATTTGCAAATTCAGAACTAAAATCACAAATCCAATGTTCTAAATATTTATGCAACTGAATTTTACTCCTAAAACACCAATTGTAAAATTACAAAATGTTTTGTACATATAGTGATTGGCATCACCATTTTACTTACAAAAATTAAATTTATTAGGATTTATGAAATTATTATTTTACTCATAACTTGCAAAATGTCAATTGTTTAGACATTAGATTATTGAGTATTTACCATAATATCTAAATCTCAAACATTTGGAAATTTAAACGGCGGGAATATACACTGACCATATGCAACAGCAAACTAATGGAATAGATTCTGATGTTCTTAAAGAAGGATGGCTAGTAATTCAGGTGGAGTGTGTGCTCAACAGTCGAGACAAAAGGGGCAAGACTGTATGAATGTCGTTCTCAACAAAGTGGAATTGGTGGATAGTTGCCTCTAATAATAGCAGTGGTTTCAATTTCTGCCACTCCATTTTTGTGGCATTGTGAATGCCAATCTGTACATTAATTTTTCTTTTTAAAAAAAAAATTCAGAGGAAGTTGGAAGAACTCCAGCTAAAGGACTTGTAAATCAGGACTGTGCACTGCAACCTGAAGGTCTTGTTTTTTGAAAGTTGAAATTCAATTTAGCAATTGAAAATGTGAAAGTTCCACCTGTTGCGCAGCCATTGTGCAGAACTCGTTGATTTAGCTACATAATGAATGTCGATAATAGCACAATTTTTATGATTTTAGGTGTATTATAATTTTAGTTATTGAATTTATAATCTGGAAATCAAGTTAATAATTGTGCAGAATTATTCTAATTTGCACAGCTACCTAATTCAACAATATTGTAAATAATTAAATGATATCAGTCAAGGAAATAAAGTGGTTGTAATTTTTTAAAATAACAAGTATAAGTGATTTCTGAGCTTTCACATGTGTGAACACAAATTTAATGTAAGGCTCTAGTACATATGTTTGATTGCAAAAGCTGCATGTACTATTTAATAAATGTGTACATTATTAACTACTAGATATTCACTAAATGTAACGATAAAGTAAAATTACAATTATAGGTAATTACAATTATAGTTGTTCATTTTACATAGTACATGTGATGCCTATACCTCTAACACACACACACACTGTCATGCAATGTGCTGT